AAAATAGTCCCAAATTAATAGAAAAGAGTTAATGCTTAGGCCAAGGTTTAGAAACTCTCTCAGCCTATTCCTTTGTAGTTTCCTGAGTTATTTGGGGCTTTTTTTCTTTCATTCCCCCCATTCCTCCAAGCCCAGCTGTTATTTCAGCCATGATCTGTGGCCCTGTCTGTCTGTCTTGGAGGTTTTTAAAGGCTATCAGTCCGAGTGGTTGCTTAGTTTGCGCTTTCTCTCTCGTGCCTCCCAGCTGCCCTTCATATACCTAGTCAGCCAGTGTCTTTGTAACTCATAGCCCAACAGGCTTAGTGGCATACTGACTCTGCCAGAGGGTTTCCCAGCTCTGTCTCTCTCCAGGGAGCCGCCCACATGGGAGCGTACCAGGAAGGTAGAAGGGGTTTTCAGAGAGTGGAGAAGCTGGTGCTGGGAAGGTGTGGGACCCAGCAGACATGGGTCTGGTGGTGGGCTGGCTCCAGGGAGAAGCTGGTCCTTGAGAGCTCTCAGAGCTTTGTGTCACTGAAACAAAACTGGGGGGCTTAGTGGTCCCCCAACTTTGCTCTGCTCAATCCCCTCCTATATTCAATGTTTATGGCAGTGTGAGTGTGTTGGGGGGGCGGGGGGTCTTGTCTCTAATGTAGCTGATGGGACTGCTCTAATGCAGCACTGGGAGATGGTGGCACTTGTCTGTCCATGTAGCCCATCTCCTCATGCTGCAGTACAGAGCAAGGTACCTAGCCCTGGAGCTCCCCCTTCTCATCCAACTACTTTGACCTCCCAGGAACTCTCCTGAAGGAATTCCTTTGTCCCCTGACTCCCATCCCCTTCCCCAGTGTCAGGCCTTCTCCCAAGGGGGTGCACTAACTATTTGTTCCTGGAGTTAAGGGGCCAGGCCATCCCTCCTCCCTAGGCCTCAGAAGACCTTTCCCTAGGCCATGCAGGATTTCGCTCTCTCACTTGGGCATCAGGGGTCCCTTGCTCCTCTGATTACTCTGGATGGCAGAGCAAAGTGCTTCCAGCATCAGGAAGGAAAGGCAGAGAGGATGATGAAGGTGGAATACTTTTGGCAAAGGGGAGGTGGCAGGCTGGATGCTTTAAACATGAGTGCTTTCCCTGCGTGTGAGGCTAGGATAAGGGGGCAGCCCCCATCCTAGTGGTGATGCCATGTTTGTGCTGACAGGGAATAGTGCTGCTGTGGTGCACTATACCCCTTGCTGGTGATGGAGTTGGCAGGGGGATGTGGACTGATGCTTGAGACAAGGAGGTACTTCCATGAAAGGGGTCCTATTTGGATAAGAGGAAGGAGATGTTGTGGGAAGGTTTCATGTTGTCAGGTCCCCAGAAAAGGAACTGAACAGATCCACTGAGCTAAATATAGTTGTTAAATGCTGACATGGCAGAGAGTGGCTTATAGCTGTACTGTTTGTACCTAATGACTGTAAGCTTCATAGAAGGAAGAAGTCTGAGTAGGGAAATCCAGTTGGTTTTTCATCTTTTCTGTCACTCTTCTTGCTCCCTGGTATACTTGTTCCACCTCCAGCTATGCTCAAGATCTCTTGCTTTGACTAGGTATGCAACCCCAGGCAATCCTGGTGGTAAAGCATTTCCCCACATGGACCTATGGTATGATGATGTAAGTTCAAGCCCTGCTCTGGACCTGCACACAAGAATATTGCTATTCAACCCATTGGTAAATTGGGACCTGGTCCCTCTTGAGCTGGAGAGACGCAGGCAGCTGGACATCACACCGATCACATCACTCCCTTGTGTGCTGCTGGATACAACAATTGTCCTGCCTCAGTGAAACCAAACCAACACACCGTGTAAGTGCAGAACCAGGCGCTGACTCTCAAAAATGACCTGGTGAAAAAGAAATCTGTGGGGCCCCACTGTCTCTGGGATTCATACATCTTCATTGTCTCTTAACCACTCCAAGTCAGAGGAGAAGGCATTTTTATTTCTAATTCCTGGTCCTACAAACACCCCTGGTATCTGAGAATCAAGTTGAGCACTTCCTCACTCACTGCCACTACTAACCAGGTACTACAGGGGAAGTTTTACCCTCAGAAACATCTGTGCAAGAGCTATGGTGCCTATCTTATGGATGGGTGGTTCAGGACAGAATAACACAGCAAGCAACTACCCTGCTGGTAACATACAGGCAGAAAGAAAGTCTGGCTCTGAGCTGTGCTAGCCTACAGGGTAAGCAGGAATAGAAACCAGAAACTGTGCTTCTCGTATCTTGATTCTGAACTGACAGTGGGTACCTGCCTGTGGGGCATGGAGACCATTTTGAAAACCACATCCCCTTCCTAATTAAGCTTCCCATTTTCATGCTCACATTGAATGAAGAGAGCGGAAAGGGCCCAAGATGCTTCTTATCTGGTGGTTCTCAGACTTTTTACTCAAGTTGCCCCTCAGGGAATACCAGCTCTTTGCTTTCATTTATTTTTATGTAGTTAAACAACTCTTCTGTTGCAAAGAACTCAGACTGCAACAGGTCCGAATGTTCTTGATGCTATGGATTTCTACTGGGAATCTCTAGGTTTATCTTGTGAATCACGTGAAGGTGTTTGCACCCTGCAGTGCACTTAAAAGGATCTCAAGGCACCCAAGGATGCCACAGAAGCCTGGTTGAGAATCACTGTTCTAATCCCTCTGGAGTCAGAAGTCTTGTCAGGAGACCAACCCCTATTTGGGCCTCTCAGTCCAATGTGAGCCCCTCAGTCCAATGTGCCTTGGCTCTTCTGCAAACCTGATGCTCAGTTTCTACTCAGAGAGCATAACTGGGTTTGGATTGTCAGCTGCGGTCCTGCCTGTGAGTCCTGGTCCTGATGTAGAGCAGTGTAAGAGGAGAAGTTGTTCCTCCCAGGCCGGTGGTCCCTGCTAGATCATTTTTCTGACCCACAACTGTGGTTCCATTTGTGGAACAAGACTGACTCACTGTGATGCAGAAAAGAGGAACCCATATAAGCAAATAATGTTTCCGGAGAAAAAAGCCCCAAAGTGAATATGGAGACAAACAGGGTTTCCCCTTGGCTGAGGGAGAGGGGATTGCTGCAAAAGGGGTTCAGATATACATCCCATCCATTCTGCTTGAAGTCTCCCACCTATTCCCACTCTATAATCTGTGGCCAAGGGGCTGACTGCTCACCCATAATTCCTCCTCCCCACGTCCCACCCTTGACAGGTGCTTCTCTCCTAGGCCCCAAATAGTCCCCTCATTTCCCAACTTTGTATGTTTCCTGAGATCATTTTACTGCCATTTCACTAATATCCCCAACCTGCCCCGGGGTGCCACTGGACCTCTCCCCAAATTGATATTCCAGTCTGCCCTTGATCAGCCTACCTAACCCAAACCCACCCAGCTCTTCCCTGCTAGAACCATATTCTCAACTGGACACAAGCCTTTCTTCCTCACTCCGTGTATTCAGTGACTCAATGCTTCTCTCTTCCTTCCTGCTAACTCAGGACAGATCTCCCCACCCTGGTTACCTGCCAAAAATCTCCCCTACTTAGAGGCATCCTGATTATTTTTTAATTATGAGAATTAAGGTATCACCTGAAAGCTCCAGTCAGAATTTGTGCCTGCTTTATAATGGGCACTGAACAGAGGGTAACATAGGAAACTTTTAGCAGAGAAAAGGAAAAGGGCAAAAAACCCCAGCATGGTTGGAGGGGAGAGGAAAACAGAAAGACCCTGAAGTCTGAAGAGCTGGAGCTTGTTACAAGGCTCCCTGAAATTAATGCTGGTCTTGATTTCAAAAGACTTTATATCAGGCCTCTGGCATGGAGGCCTTTGGGCATGTGAAGCTCTTCCTGGGTAGGAATCTTTGCCTAGCATGGTTCTTGTCCTGCTTTTCTTTCCTCCTCCTCCTTTTTCAGTCTGTCTCTCTGTCTTACTCCTGCAATCTGCTATGGTCCCAGTGCCTCAACTGAGCAGGACTGGGCCCCAGGGGCAGCTGTGATGCCCTCTGGTGCCCACCCAACTCCTGGGTCAAAACTTCCCTGAATGCTGTGACTCCCCACTAGCTCCTTGCTTGCAGCTTTTTTGGGACAGCTTCAGTGCCAATCAGTCCCTTTTCTGGAGCCACCCTGCTTAGGGCCAGGCACTGATCTTGGGCACTGGCCTTGTGTGCCTTAAGAGGCCCAGCCCTTCCAGTCAGGTGGCTTTTCAGATGCCCACAGGGGTTTCCATTTAGGCAGTGCTGCAGCACAGAGGGTGTGTGTGGGGCACTGCTCCGCATGCCAAAGCAGAGGGGTGCCAACAGGCACTGCCCAACTGGGGTGGGGCGCAGGATGAAGCCACGAGCGGTTCAAGGGGGAAGGGCAGCTCCTGCCACTGCGTGCACTCCCAGGCAAGCATGGGGGATTATGCCCCCCAGATCTATGCATGGGGCAAGGGCAGGCTGCCGCTGCGGGCTTTGCCTCAGGTGCCAAACTACCTTGCCACGGTACTGCATTTAGATTAGATGTCCAACCTGCCTTCCTCTGTTGGATCTTGATTCGTCTGCTTTCAGTTATTATTTCTGTACTGCCTGGAGGTCTGCTCCTGGACTGCTTATTGTGGTGCAGCTAGCTCCTGGGGTAGTCCTGGTTGTTACTGGCCTGCTAGCTTTCCAGAAGCCAGCCCTTGCTTAGGTGCTAGTCCCACCTAGCAGGCTTAGCTTGCTTCGGTATCCTCTGACTCCCTGTTGCACTCAACGACAGAAGGACAGTCACCCATTGTTTACAATGCCTGTCCCTTGAGGGTAGGAGCAGAACAATGTTCCATTACAAGAGTAGACATGGACATGTCACATCCAACATTTTTCAGCAGAAGGGACAAACCAGGGCTGCTCTTAGCTCGTGTTCAGCAGCCAGGGAGGTTAAGCAATGTTCTGTGCTGGGTCACTTGCATCTTTTTCTGGCATGAGTCATTCACAAAGGGTAATTTTGCAAGTGCAGATGAAGCAGTGGAGTCAACCACAGACTGCTAGAGTCAGAAAGAAAGACTCAGAGAAAAGAAGAGGGGAGCAAGGAAACTAAAAAGCAGAAAAGGCATACAGAGATGGAAAGAGAGAGAGAGAAACAGGGCTAGAACAACAAAGGAAGGAAAATATTGTCCTAGTGGGGAGGGGACTGCCTTGTCATTGCAAAGGGAAGATTGCAACTTCCTTCTTAACTATTTAATTCCTCTTCCTTTTTTTTTTTTTTTAACTCTTGGATTTGCAGAAAGCTCTATCTGGTTTCCTGGGTTCAGAAGCACCAGAGCTGGCCAGGGCATTTTTGGCATCTGAGTACTTGTCAGGTAGTCTCAAGGCTTCCAACTCCTCCGTTGGCCACGAGAGTGTCCCACAGTAGTGAGAGTCACTCCAAGCTCCACCAAACAGAAAGGCCAGCTCTGAATGTGACAGGACTATAAGGAAAGAAAACCCCAAGGGTCACTGACCAGTCTCTGGATGGCATCAGAGATAACCTACGCCGAGGTGAAGTTCAAGGACACGCTGCTCCCTGTAGAGGCCAAAGGTAAATTCATGGCTGTTCAGGGGGATGGGGCTGAGGGTTTGTGTAGTGGTTTATGGAGTCTTCTAATTCTATGGGGCTGTTTCCAGTCCAGCCTCAGGTCGTTGGAGACTCAGTGAATGGACTGTGGGGCCTGACACCTCAAGGCAGCAGTTCTTTCCTGGTGCTAAGAAAATGCTGATAAAGGCAAACTTTTCTCCAACACCTGAGAAGCAAATCTGGGGGATTTTTATGGTGGAAGGGAGTAAGAAGAAAATTATGGCTCTGAAAGATTGATACAGAGGAGGCCACCTCTAGGTAATACACATAAGGTTACGTGGTAAACAAGGTGAAAAAGGGTAGATGGAGGAATTAGAGCAATACCTGTGACTAGCCAACGAAGAGAACTAAGATATTACTGGTGTCTGTTCCTTTCACAATGTTGATGGCAGAGCTGCAGGGACCCTTCATAGGCAGCATCAACATTGCCTAACAGTGCTAGGTCAGAGGCAGTAGAGGCAGCATCTCTACAGAGGCTGGGCAGCTTCATCAGCATCTCTGGTTGCTGGGTAAGAGGAGTGCTAACCAAGATCTGGTTTTATCATGGTGTCTTGTCCTCTGGACCCTCAACACAGCACTGGCTGTAGAGGGGTGGAGATGATGTTGGGTTGGTGAGGGAATGCATTGGGAGAAGAAGGGACCAAAGTCTACCAAGGAGAGAGGGGCTTGAACAGAACACCCTGAGATTTGGAAGGGAAGAAGTAGTTGTGATTTGGAACATGACCCAATTTTGTGCTCCTTTTTTTCTCCTGCAGAAGAATGAACATTTAGGAGCCAAATTATTTCTGCCAACCAAAATAACATGCATACAGATGTCAATTTATAGAGCACTTAGTCAACAGGAGACATATTCCCTGCTCTAAGCATGTTACAGGTTAACAGGCAAGCTCCTTGTCCTGAGCATGGCTCAATCTGTATTAAATGGGTCAACAATGGCATGGCAAAAAACAGCAATTCAGCAATGGGCACATGTGCAGATAGTGATTCCTCTGCCTGGTGACCTTAGACCCCAAGAGGCAAGACCTTGTAGACACTACAGCTCCAGGGACCAGAAGGGCCATGAATATATATTTTGTGCTGTCAAAGGTGTTTGTAAACTGACTCCGCAGCTCCAGCTTTAGATTACAAACTGTCCCAGCCCTCCAGGGAGCTGCTTAGGGTCTGGCCTCCCCTCCAGAGAATGAGTAATGCAAGCCTGAAGGGTATGACTGGCTCAGAGACCATGGCTGCCCTGAGGATGGGATGAGCTTTCTCAGGTGATCTGGCTGTCCTCATCCATCAAGATGAGCCAGTGACAGCTTAATATCTCCCCATATCTTGTTCCAAAGAGGTCTGATGAGTTTGCATGTGCTCACGTGGATGGTGCCACATGTGCCCTGTGGGGTTCCTGTGCTTGCTCATACCCAGCTGTTGGTGATGTGGCACATGCATTTGTAACCCGGGTGGTACTCCAAAAGGTACCCCCTCTCCAATTGAAGGGATTAAAGCAGGTGCACAAGCGCTGTGGGAGGTGTAGGGACTCTCTTCCCCCGATAGAGCAGAGCCAGACCACCACTGGGGACTTAACCATATACCTTTTAATGAGGGAACAATACTGGGAACATAACAGGCATAATCAGGGGGTATAGTGGACACTACAATGCCTTAAGGGGCAGGATTCAACAAAGGTTAGACGCTTACAATCATTGACAAAAGACAGGGTTAACAAAATATAAAATACAAACAGCAGAGCAAACAATACTGGTTGGGGAAATATAAAAAGGCACAAAATGCAAAATGTCAAAGGACAAAGAATATAGGGCCTAGGTAACCAGAGGGGAAGAAAACGAGAAAACACAATGGCCCCTTTCCACAGCAAGAGGAAATTTTCCTTGTTAGCTCACTCACCCCAAGTCACCAAAGCTAGGACTTAAACTTGGATCTCCCATGTGGTAGGCAAGAATAGTGCCACATGGCCACCAGTACTGGTACTGCTCTGAGCTGCTAGGGGTCTTGACCCTCCTGGATCCCCGGCCTCATGTTGAGCTACTTGGTCTCTGATTGGAGGAGCCAGAAGCCGAGCTGGGAATCTCTCAGGTCACTGCTCAGATCCTTGCTGAAGCAGGAAGCCTCTCCTGCCGGCCACACGCCGTGCTGCTGAGGATCCAACTGCTGCCTGCAGGTCCTGCTCCTTCAAGTTCTTCTGGGGCAATTGCTCCCTCCCCGCTGGCCCAGCTCTTGCCAGTTCCTTCCTCATGGTCTCTCGCTGGTCTCTCCCTGAGTCAGATGTGCTGCCCCTTTTATTCCCCTCCAGGTGACCCAAGGGCCAATCAGGGGACACGAGGGGTGAATCTCTGGGGCCTGATTCGTGGGGAAAGGGAATCCCAAGTCCTCCAGTCATCTTTTGCCCTTTCAAAACCCCTGGGCTAGGTCACTGCCAGCTAGCCCGTCACACATTGCATGGGCTCATGCCAGAGCCACTGCTTTCACAGGGGTCTAGGGCCCAGGGGTTGAGTGCTGGGCTCCAGAGCTGCACAAAACCAGTGGCTCCAGCAGGACCCAGCTCCAAACAGCTGTTAAGCTTAGATAGATCCTTGAATAGACAGAGCTCTGCATTGGACATACTGAGCACAGCTGGAGAGGGTGTGGCTGCACCCACTTAACCCTCTCCTGGGTCCACCCATGCATGTGACATTTACTGTTGTGGCAATCATGAGGAATTGCTTGGGCCACGTTGGCCCCGGTAGTGGTGAACAAAGGTGACCACAGACTGCCCACAGTCTTGTCCCTTACCTTGAGTTCCCTGATTATCTTATATGGGCAAATCTATTACCTCTTCTGGTTACGTACATGGAATAAGGAGATGTCTGAGTGCTCTTAAGGCAATCTTATTCATTTAACAGGTGACTTACATATCCAGGAAGGGGTATAGAATTAATTTATCCTACACAATAATAAGATAACTCAGAGTAGGTCAAAAGTTGCACTTTGGTCATCAGTTAAGTAAAATAGGATTCTGCTTGGTGAAGCTATGTAGTAAAAGAGAGAGAAAGAGACTGAGAAAAACAGAGACGGGAACGATCCTTGAGCAAGCACTATTTTGTCATTGGAATGGGCCAGGAAGGACTGGAATTGGTTTTTTAAATCCTCCCTGGGGAGGGGCCCCTTGCCCTGCCTTCCAGGATTCAGACATAGGCATGACCATATGCTTCCAGGAACTGGAAACTTTGGCTCACGGCTGGTTAGCAGGAAAATGTATGGCTATGTGGGAAATGAAACCAGTTGCTTTCTTTGAATGTTAGGGGGGAGGCTGCCCAAACCAGTTTTCCATAACAACAGTGTTTCAGTGGAAAATGTCTATCCAGTCCTGATAGCTGTCAGCACACTCACTGTGTGCTCTAGGAGTAACACGTGTTCTCAGCAGAGCACACTCCTGGGCCCCTGACTGTGCATAGCCCCACCTGTCTCCTGGCAGCTGTTTCTGCTGCTGGGGGAATCAAGGATTTTACACAAGGAAAACACCAATTTTTCTCTGGATTTGGACTAGCACAATAATGGCAGCCCTCCTTGTTCCCTCCATCCTGCAGCAGTGAAGGCTTGTTTCCTGTCCCCTCCCTGACACTCCATGCTCTTATGTCCACCTCCATACTCCTTGCTGCCACCTGAAAAAGCCACTCTTCCAAGGGGATGGTCACCTCTCCTTCCCTCTCAGAGTGTGTCCCGCTCCCTTCCCTCCTCCTACAGCTCCTTGGTTATGCTGCAGTGTCGCTCCCCATAGACACCAGACAGGCCCCAGCTCCCCATTGGAGGTTGCTTCCCTCTAGTTGACAGGGCTGATCTGAGCAAAACTGACTGGTGTTGTTTTGGGGGTTTCTTCAAAATTAGCACCTCCAGAGAAGAGCACACCTCAGCGTGAACCCTGCAAACCCAAACTATGGGTCCCATGGTTGGTCTCAGCTCTTTTGCTGTTGCTGTGTGTTGCGCTCATCATCACTCTTATTGGTAAGTGCACATGGACTGATGGATTATCTAGAGAGAAAAGGTAAGTGTTTGGGGAGAGCTCTTGAGGGAAGAAAGCAGAGAGTAAATGAATAAATTGGAGCCAAGAGTATAATAGCCTGCTGGATAATTTGGGAATGTTCCTGATAGGGAGTGGGCCTGGGGGTCTGTCAGACTGGGAAAAAACTCATCCTGAGAACAAGTGGGCATCCAAATATTTGGGCCTGGGGAAAAAGCTTGAGGACTAGTATACAGGGCCCAATCTCTCTTTCCTGACAAAGGGTAGAAGAAGGAAGAAATGGGCCAGATTAGACCTTGGCAGCAGGCAAGCTGGTGTCATGGGAAGAGCACATCTGGGATATCAGAGTAGGCTTGGGCAGTGGAAGGAGCTGCATGGTGTGTAGGGGATCGACCTAGAGGACTGTGGCTGCAAAGGAGTGTAATGGTTTATAGAGATCTAGATACAATAGATAGAGCAATATCAGGGAACCAGGTTAGGGGCTGTGGATGGCTCTGAGGTGGGGTTCAGGGTCTTTCATCCTTTGGATACTGGTTCCGTTTGGCACTGGCTCATGGAGCCAGGGCAGCTCAGGGGAAGTGGAGTACAGAGCCATTTGCCTCTGATGTTTTAGAGGCAAATGGCTCTGTACTCCACTTCCCCTGAGCTGCCCTGGCTCCATGAGCCAGTGCTAAACTGGAACCAGTATCCAATTTCTCATAGCATCTTCCCTAAGAGCCAAAGTTCTCTGCACCTGTCCAAGGCACATGTCCTCCCTGGTAGAAGCATAACTGGTAAGGTTTGTGTCCTGGGCAGCTGCTGCAGGGACAGGTGTTGGCACATCCAGCAGCCAAGAGGTTAATGCAGCAGCTACGGGTGCATTGACTGGCTCAACCTATACTGCATCTGCATTGTGGCTCACCCCCATCACCCTAGCCATCACCACAGCCAGTGGCTGCAGTAGGGGGCTGCATTGACCCCCTGGCTTCTGGCTATGCCCATCCCTTACTGGAAACTGGGGCTGATAAGGGGATTAGGGACAGAGTGCTGCTGATTATAGGCACTAGTAACAAGGGGCAATCCTAGATTTGGCAGCACAACAAAGCAATTCCCTTTTGAGTCCATTCTAGCACTGCCTTTAGGTCAGCTTGTGCCCTGGTTGCCCACACTTAGTTTGCTCTTGCTCCCTGGGGGCCAACTATTCAGTCCTGCAGGGTTCTGGACTAAGTATTAGTATAGAATGCTGATGAGTACTGTTGTACACTGTTTCACAAGTGTTTTTTTTTCCCCCTCTTCTCATCCAAGCTGCATTCAGCAGTTGGAGACATGTTTTTTGTTGATTCTGAAGCTAAGAGGGACATTTAGACAAGTGTGTCTCAGCCCATGGGTCATGACCCAAAAGTGGGTTGCAAGAATTTATGAAAGGGTCGCGAACAAACTTTAAAAATGGATTCTCCTTTAAAAGAGAAAAATGTGGGAAAATGTGGCTTTTCCTTTGTAGGCTGTCAGAGTTTGAGCTTGCAAGGAGCTGCCTAGAGCCCCCTATGCCGTACATCTTCTGCTGCCCCCACCCTCACATACTGGGTGGGGTTGGAGCATGGGGGTGAGAGCACTGGGTCAGGACTGAGGGGCACTGGGTTGGGACTGACCACTGATGTTTACAAATGGGTCCTGGTACAAAAAAGTTTGAGGACCACTGCTTTAGACTATGTTATCTGACAGAAGGCCATGGAGTCTTGCTCAGTTGCTCCTGTAGTGAGCCTAATATAACATAGGCGATTGAGTCACATCTTCCAGAAAAGCTTCCAGGCTTGATTTGAAGACTTTGGGCAAAAGCAGAAGTGACAGTTTTTGAGCGATGAGGCCCCTGAAAGCACTTTGTAGCCATGACTTAACACACGTGCACAGCTGAAGAGTATTTTAAAAATGTCTGATTGTGTGAAAAATTAACCCTGGTTAGATCAGGTATTACATAAAGGTGTCAAAAGCAGACTACTTTAGGGAACTTGGGTTCCCTTCAGGGTTAATTATTCACTTGTGGGTAGGGGCTGTGCTGATGCCCAGCTTTACCCCCTGGGCTGTCAGGAGGAAGAAGAGGGAGCTGCTGTCTGCTGAATGGCCAGAGCTGTGAGGGAAGGGGGTGGAATGGAGCCCCCTTGCCTCGTGGCCCCCACAGTCAGTGGTCCAGCAATATACTCAGCTAACTCTTTTTTAAGACTTTGGGTACAAGTTATCTGAGGCTGTCAATTTAAGCTAGACTGGATAAGCTCATATAGTTGTGTAAAATGAATGCATCACCCTGCTTGTTTCCAAATACAGAACAGAAATATTGATTGAATACTTCTGCCTTTAGTATTTTCTTATTGACAATTTTCTGCCTACATCTACACCTATTTATGGGATTTATTGGTATGTCTTTTGTTCCTGAGATGCTTAAAAAAAATTCTTTGGTATTGTCCTGAGCCCTGTCCACTATGGATTTTTGTCCTGTTGTCTTCCTTTGTCCTTCCCTGGTAAGTTTTTCAAATTGTTGTTCTTTTGATTACAATTTTTAATATTGATTACTATCTGTTTCCCCGTTTTTTTTTTCTTTTTGCTGTACCAATACTTTTAAAATCTAATTCC